TGGGAACATTTAGATGTGTGTGGTGGTGGTGGTGTTAAGTACACTTGAGTCATAGAGGACTTGCAGGGATCTTATGAATGAAGGACCTGGACACCTGTGAAACTGTCGTCATTTCTCCAAGTTCATAGTTTCCAGAGGCAAGCTATTTCAGAAGTGGATGCCACTCCTGCTTCCAAGCTTGTTTTAATTGGTGAGCTTCACCAAACACTGTCCACCATGGGTAACCATTATCACATTTGACACATCAGTGTCACAGTGTTTAGTACCACAGCAACCACGAGTTAGCTCTGTACAGCCAATGGGCAGACCAGTGCTATACCACTTAGAAGAATGTTTCACCAAAACCAATTAAAACCAGGCCTGAGGGCCGCATACTTCATCTTAATCTGTATGTAAGACATTTGAGGAGAGGAGCAGTTAGTGAATAAGCATATAGATTGAAAATAGAGGGGGAAGATCTGAGAGTAAAGAGACCAGGGAAGAAGGTATCATGGTATTCTAGATGTGAAGTTAACAAGTCAAATTAACAAGGGAGGGTTATTGGAGAATATAATACTTTAGAGCAATTCTTGCTATTTTTATTTAAGGAGTACTTTCAACTTTAAAATGAGTGGCAAACCACAATGGACTGCCTGTGAATAGATTTTGATTCATTGTGGCCCTCCCTGTTGTTGTTAAGTGTCATCTAGTCAACTATGACTCATAGCAACAATATAAACAGTGGTTCTGAACACGGCCCTATCCTGTGCCATCTTCATAGGGCATTCCATCTCCTTGAGGTCTTCCCCTCCTTCACTGACTGTGAAAAATGTGATATCCTTTTCCAAGGACTGACTCCTCCTCATGGCATGCCCATGGGCTCCCAAAAGGACAAATAAGTATATCTTAGAAGAGTTACTGCCAGTGTGCTTCTTGCAGGCAACGATTGTGGCCCTGTGGAATACATTATTTCTGCCCTATAGTATTTCTGGGGATATAAAACCTTTACAGGAGCAGACAACCTCATCTTTTTTCACCAGGGCTTCTCAAAATTAATACAGGGATTGCAAAGTACATAGTCATTGTGAAACCAAATTCTAACAATACAGAAATATGGAGATACAGGAAACAAAAAGTCCAGATACTTACCTTATTACTTCCTGGTTCATTCTATCATGGTAAATATTGTAAACTATTTAGTAAGTTTGTTTATTATGTTTGTTTGTGATATTTGTAGTATATACCATCTTATAAATGCTGTAAATATGAGGTAGCACAAAGTGGAAAGTAAGATGCTTCCTTTGTATAACCACTTAGATATTATTGTGTTATACAAACTTTATTTTTTTTCTCCAGGAATCTTAAGTGACTTTATTCAGTACAGGTGAAGCTTTAGGCAAAATCTTCAAACGATTTAACTGTATGCCACAAAACAGATAGTAACAGTTATAGCATGGAGCAAAACATTTCCTCAAGAGCATTCTCTTAGGACAAACAGTTACTAGGGGATTTACAAGGGTCATGCTCCTAATATTTACTCAGAGTCTAGGTATTCTTACTAAAGCCATTATCTGACAGTCACTGTTCAGGTTTTCCTTGTGTTAGTCAAACTTTATAATGTGCCCAAGATTAGAGACAATGGAAGAGTGGTGTAGGTGGATTTAAGCCATCAGCCTTCCAGCTAGCTATTAAGATTGTTTAAATTTAAAAAAGAAGAAAAAGGAAGAAAGGAAAGAAAAAAGAAAACCTTATAGTGATCTTTTTTTTTTTTTTTCATTGTCTCTCAAGATTTTCCGTTGTCTTTTAGATACCAATATTGCCAATGAGGTGTCCAATGCCATTCTGATCCTTGATTTTTGTTGTAGATAGTAATCTTGTTACTCTAAAAGGACAATAACAATAATAATTCATAAAGTTCATCAGACATCTATTCAGTGTTAAAATTTCCCTAATTGCTTCAGAAGGTAGTTCCCCCCCCCCCCAGTTGATTTGTTTGAATTAGGATCCAAACAGATTCATACATTGCCTTAGTGTATGATTGTTTTGTGTATCACTCTCTTCTTCCTTTTCATGGATGGAAGTTGCTTTTTTTAACTCCCCTACTAATTTATTTACAAAAGGCAGTTGCTTTTTGAAGAAACTTAAGGAAGTTACTTTCTTCACCGATCCACTGAGTTTAGGATTCGGCTCTACTTTTTCTTAGTCTTTTAGTTTGTGTTTACCGTTTTTAAGCCTGCTGCTCCTGTAGAGTTTGATCTCAGTATGCAGGGATAAGTGATTTTGTTGGTAGATGCTGTTGAGTTGATTTTTTTTACTTAAAACAACTCTGTGACAACAGAAGTGCCCCTTGACATTTTCAGCTCAAACTCATTGCCATCCAGTTTGAATCAACTCCTAACTGATGCTCCAGCAGGTTTCTGAGGCTGTAAATCCTGTGGCAAGTACCTGACCATCTGTCTCCCACCACTCAGCAGCACAGATCTCTATGAACTACACCACCAGAGCTCCCAAGGCTATTTTAGTGGTCACTTTATTTACCAAAAGGTCAATGGTGGTTTGAATCTCCCAGTTAAATGGTGGGGGGGAATATGACTCAATCTGCTTCCGTTAAGATTACAGGCATGGGCACCGTAATTGATACTGTCACTTCTGCAAATTGCTGTTTGTCAGAATAAACTTGATGACAGTGGATTTTCATTTTTATGGAAGCATATTTCCAGTCATTCTCCAGTAGAATCGCTGGGTGGATTTGAACTGTTAACAATTAAGTTAGCACACAAGTGCTTAACTGTTGCTTCACCAAGACTCTTACGAAGATTTCAGACAGCTATGTCTTGGAAGAAGTGCAGCCACAGTGCTCCTTGGAAGCAAATATGACGAAGCTTGGACAAGTAGCTAAATGAGATTATTTATTGGAAAGGGACAACATGCTTGGAAAGGTGGAGGGTCAGCAAAAGAGAAGATATGACTCCCCAGAGGGAAGGATTGACTTGAGCAGTGGGCTCTCCTGTGTCAGAGATGATGGCACAGGATAGAGGAGGATTCAGGTCAGCTGTTCATAGGGTCACTGTGGATTATACTGAACTCAATGGCCTAACAACAGTAACAACCAACACATTGCCACTGAGTTTATTTAGACTTATAGTGACACTGAAAGACAGAGTGGTACTGCTGTTTAGGGTTTCCAAGATTGTAAATCTTTAGAGAAGCAGATTGTGGTATCTTCTGTGGAACAGTTGGGCTTGTAATGGCTGGGCAGTTCAAACTGCCAATGTTTTGATTAGCAAATGAGTACTTTAACCACTTTGTCACCAGAACTCCTTTTATAAAAATCCTATTCTTTTTGACTCTGTCTCTCTCATTGTTGAGTCAGAAGAAACTTCTGATTTCTGAGGCTATAAATTAAATAAAAGAAAATTGTCCATCTTTCTCCCATGGGACCACTGGTGTGTTAAAATTGCCAGAGAGTGCTCTTTGCGTTAACAGTGGAACTCCCTACAGATTATGCCTCCAGAACTGTTTATGAAAATATATGTTGTTAGGTGCTATTTAGCCAAGTACAACTCACAGTGACTCTGAATAACAGACCCAAATCCTGTCTTATCTGGTTCCATCCTCACTATTTGTGATATATTTGTTGTGTACTGTCCAGTTGTAGCTGACTCTCCATCAGGTTTTCAGAGGCAGTTGCATGGGAGGAGATTGCCCATTCTTTTCCCATGGAGCAGTTGGTGGCCTCGAACCACCTTTGGGATTGCAATGCAGCTTCTTGCCACTAGACCACCAAAGCTCCATTGCTGATATATAGAGAGATAAAATTTTCACCCATGGCCCTTATATATAGACCATTTACATTATCAGATTCTCCACTGGAAAAAAAAATTTTGTGCAGAAAATGAAATTGTATATCAGATTCCAAGCTGGATATCTTCCTAAAAGATTTCCATAGTAAGTTATGATTACACGAATTTTTCACACAACTGTTACTTTTAAAACTCAAATTCTACTTAAAGTATGAGTTTATTGCGTAGTAAATTGAATAGAGTAGAAGTTTGGAATAAGTTTGCCTAATTGCCTTGAGTTTTTCACTGCTAATAAATTTTATCTAATGTTTTTGTTTTTACGATTAATTAATTAATGGTAAATGGGCTCAAATGTGCCAGAGATTGTGAGGGTTGCACAGGATAGGACAGGGTTCCAGTTTGTTGTTTATTGGGTTGCTATGAATCATACTCAGCTCGACGGCACCTTAGAACAGTTTTCTTTCCTCATGCTTACCCATTCATGTGAAATCCTATATAACACTATGTATAGGGGTTTTTTTTGTTTTGTTTTTTTTTTATATGTATAGGTTTTAATGTGAAAGTTTCACATGATTTTTTCAGTCACTTGAACATTCAACTTCTTTTTTTTTTTTTAAACATTCAACTTTTGATTCTTGGAGATAACGTGGGTTCCATTTACAGACTACTGCAGTAAAATATGTACAGCAATAAAACAAGACACACTTTTTAAAACTTCCTAGTGCACATAAAAATCATGTTTACACTATATTGTCCTTTAGAGCCCTGGTGACATAAACTGTTGGGCTGCTAACTGAAAAGTAACAGTTTGAATCCAACAGCCATTCTGCTGGAAAAATATAGAGACTTCCTGTAAAAATTTACAGCCACACAAACCTGCTGAAAGGTTGTTATGAGTCAGAACTGACATGATGGCTATGCATTTTTGGTCTGGTAGTTTATTTTTAAGTATGCAATAGTATTATGAGGAAGTTTGAGATATTTTGAGAACAACCAGAATGTTACACAAAAGGAGCGAGCGTGCTATTGGGGAAATGACACTGATAGACTTGTTTGAGGCAGGGTTACCACAAACTTTCAATATGTAAAAAACATGATAGCCTTAACAAAACAAAGTACCATAATGTACAAGAAGATGTTAGGGTGCCTGTCTTTTGCTACTTTGTTGTTCTAAAGTTTTCACTTGATATGTCTTCACTGTAATTTCTTTTTCTTTAGACTTTCAACAGACCTCCCATATCTCTTCTTATGAAATAGTAACTCCTTGGAGGTTAACTAGAGAACAGAGAGAAGCCCCTAGGCCCTATTCAAATCAGGTAAGCATGAAGAAAGTATGTGTTTACAGTTTGGAATTTCTCCCTTGTTAACAGCAAGCTGTTATTTTTAGTAGTGATTATTCAGTGTTTCTGCTAATGTTAATGTTAGCCAGTGGTTAGACAGTACCACATAAAAGTGATGGTCACTGGGTGTTATTCTAATAAAACAGAATATGGATCCTTAGTAATGTTGTTAGGGAGCTCTGGTGGCCTAGTGGCAAGAAGCTGTGCTGCAATCCTGAAGGCATATGGTTTGAGGCTCACCAGCTGCTCTGCTTAAGAAGGACAATCTCCTCCCATGTGATTAACTGCCTTGGGGGGACCCGCTGGAGAGTCAGCTATGGGTTGATTCTAATTCAATGGTACAACCACAACAATAGTAATGTTGTTAAGACAAAATAGTAAACTTGAAATGTAACAGAATGAAATAGTTAAATAGAATTCTAAGCAGAGTAGGATGCTGATTTCATAGGGGGTTTTTTAACCCCTAACAGTGGTTTTGTTATAACGGTCAAAGGTAACTTCACCCAGTTTGTGATTGAATACATTATCTCTGTTTACTCTGTAGAAGAGTAATAGGCAATTTGCATCTAATTAATTTCTGGGAAGTTTGATTCAAAAGTGAGTCTTATATTCATACTAGAACAAACTTCATTGTGTTCTCAATGGAGTAACCAATGTAAAAAAAAATGTTGTTTTTTTTTTAAAAAATGTTTTTATGCTATTTTCACTAATTGGAGACTTTGTTTAAAAATGACATATTTGTAGCCCAGCTAGTTTTATGTATTTTTCAACTTTGTAAGTGTATAATTTAACTTAACATGCTTTTAAATTATCTTATGTTATCTTGAGTCAATTATTACTCATAGTGACCCAATGAACAACAGATCTGAACCCTGCCATTATCTTTCGCTTACTACTTCTGAGTTGTGTATACAAAAATTTGTTGATGTGAGGCAGCTTGCAAGGTGTTAAGCTGGTCACATGTCTTAGCCTGGAATGATCATCTATTGTGTACTTTCCCAGCTCTGGAAGTGTAGTTTGTCAGGCTGCTAACCAAAAGAGAAAGGTAGGCAGTTTTCTCCCATAAAGATTTATAGCCTCAAACCCCCAATGCCCTTAGTGAGAATTGACTGACTGGCAGTGAAGATGAATAGGGATTGTATAGACAGTGTGTGAAGCAAACTAACAAACCAAACACTGGCATTTAAAAATCCTCCGCTTTTAATTTGAGCCCTCTTGTCACTACCTGGATAATCGGCTCAACTCCATTTACTCTTATGTAAGTGAAGAGTAGATGACTGTAAGGTCACCTTCCGGTGGTACCATTTTTATTTTTTCCCTTGCTTTAGCTTGGAATTGGATATTTGAATATCTTTTGCCTTGTTGTTGTTACAGGTCTGACTCTTAGCAACCCTATATGCAATAGGATTTGTCACTGTGCAGTCCTGGGTCATCCTCACAAATGGTGGTGTGTTTGAGCCTATTGTCGAAGCCACCTGTGAGCTTATCTCAATGAAGATTTTCCTCTTTTTTAACTTCTTTTTCTCCAGGGCCTGTTCCGTCCTGATAGCCTGTCAATAATAAGAAAGATGCAGTCTTGCCATGCTCATTTCTGCATACCCTTCTGGCTGTACTTCTTCCAAAACGGAATTGTTTGCTCTGTCAGGTCATGGCATATTTAATATTTATCACCAGTACCATGATAGTGATAAGGAACTACACTGCAATCATGGCATGCGGGTCAAATCTACCAGCTGTTCCACGGGAGAAGAATTAACTGCCTCTGAAAACCCAACAGAGAGTCAGCTATGGGTTGGTTCCAACTCGATGGTACACAACAGCAGTAACAACCATGATTGAAAGGCACCAGTTCTTTATGCCCTTATTCATTGTCCAAATTTTACATGTATATGACTGAAGTACGATGGCTCAACACTTTTGCTTTTAAATTATGCAGTATTACCTTGCACTGTTCAGACAATAGCTTCTTTTTATTTTATTTTGTTTGATTTTTAAAAATATTTCTACTAATCCATTTACAAAATTCAAATACAAATTAGAACAAATTCTTTCAATTTCCCTTACCCACCCACCCCCTATCAAATTGTACAACACAGTAATTAATCCCTTCCTTTCCCCTGCATATTTACATCTCTCTGTTTCCAGCCTCTACCACCCCTCTTGGATCCTTATACTCATTCTACAATAATGGTTTTATACAATATTTATCCTTGTTGGACTGAGTTAGTTCACTCAGCATAATGCTCTCCAGTCCCTCTCAAGTTAGGTAATAATTTACAAAATCATTGCTCCTGCGTGCTGCGTAGTATTTGATTGTGTGGATGTACCATAATTTCTCAATCCATTTGTTTGTGGTTGGACATTTGGGCTGTTTCCATGTTCTTGCGATGGTGAATAATGCTGCTATGAACATTGGTGTACAAATCTCCATTTGTGCCTCAGTTCTCATTTTCTCAGGGTATATTCCAAGTAGTGAAATAGCTGGGTCATATGGAATTTCTATGCTCAGCTTTTTGAGGAAGTGCCAAACTGTTTTCCAGAATGATTGTACCATTTTACAATCCCACCAATAATGTATAGGAGTTCCTTTCTTGCCACAATCCTCACCAACATTTATTACTTGCTGTCCTATTAAAATTTGCTACTGTTACTGGAGTGAGATGGTACCTTATTGTGACTTTGATTTGCATCTCTCTTATTGCCAGTAATTTGGAGCATTTCTTCATGTGTCTGTGACACAATAAAAGACCTAAAGAAATGGGAAAATGTACCCTGTTCATGGATAGGAAGACTCAGTATGGTGAAAATTACAATCCTACCAAATCTACATGTTCAGTGCAATCCCAATCCAGATACCAAATTAATTTTTCAAGGATATTGAAAGGGAAATTACCGAATTTATTTGGAGAAGCAAGAGACCCTGAATAAGCAAAATACTTCTGAGAAACAAAAATGAGATTGGAGGCATAGCACTCTCTGACCTCAAAACCTACTACATAGCAGTAGTAACCCAAACAGCATGGTACTTGTACAAAGACAGGCACACAGACCAATGGAACAGAATTGAGAACCCAGAAATAGACCCAGCTATCTATGGTGAACTGACATTTCACAAAGAACTCAAAGCTGTCAAATGGGGAAATGATAACCTCTTTAACAAATGGTGCTGACAAAACTGGACTTCCACCTGTAGAAAGCTTAAACAGGATACACATCTCACACCACACACAGAAAGCAACTCAAGGTGAATCAGAGACCTTGGAGTAAAGCCCAAAACCATAACATTCTCATAAAAGACAAACTGAGATCAAGCTTAGAAATGCTAGTTCAAGATATAAAGAGACAGATAACAACCAGAAATGCACAATCTAAAGGATAAAATTGATGCATGGGATCTTCTAAAGATTAAATCCCTGTGCACTTTTTCCAACAAGGTGAAAAGAAAACAGACTAGAAACAAACATTTGGTAATACCATCTCAGACAGGAGTCTTTGAACAGAAGTTTACAGAATACTCCTGGGCCTCCACAAGAAAAAGACTGATAACCCAATTACAAAATAGGCAAAAGACATGGAAAGAATTTTCGCAGAGGAAGATATTCAGATGGCAGACAGTAGCTTCTTGATCTAGGTATAAGTTTCATATGAACACAGTTAAGTGATTTGGGATTCCTTTTTTCCTCAGTGTTACCCATAGTTTATTACGATCCACACAGTTGTGCTCAAGTGTGTCAGAGATAATGAAGATGTCCCAGGATAGGATAAAATTCAGACCTATTGTTCATAGGGTCGCTATGACTCGGCAGCACTTAACAACATGGTAGCTGAGTAGTAAAGAAATATCAAATTCACCAGCTTCTGTGTGGGAGAAAAATTTATTGCCTCTGAATACCCGCTGAAGGGTCAGCCAGGAGTCAGTTCTGACTTGATAGTAGAAACATAACTAATGACAGTGAACATATACTTTAGAGGCTGTCTGAGTGTTGTCTTTGAAGAAATATCTATTCAGCATCTTGGTGCATTTTATATTTGGGTTATTTGCTTATGTGTTGTTACCTAATATACAGTTTCTATAGATACACTCCTGGTTAGTTGTCTGTCTTTTCACTTTCTTCTGCTTCCCCACCCCCCAATCTTTCAATGACCAAAAGTTTTAAATTTTTGTAAGTTTCCATTTATTTCATCTTTTGCTAGCTCTGGTGGCCTAATAGTAAGGAGCTGTGCTGCCATCCCAAAGCCATGGATCTAATCCACTGGCTTCTCTGGGGGAAAACGATGGGCAGTTTCCTCCCATGCAATTTACTGCCTCTCATAACCCACTGGAGGGTCAGTTATGAGTCGGTTCTGACTTGATGATATTTAATAATAACGACATTTGTGCTTTTATTATTATACAAGATGATCCATTGTTAAAACAGCATTACTCTGCATTTTCCTGTAATTATAGTTTTAGTTTGCACATTATGTCCTTAATCCATTTTGAATTTGAATTTATGTGTACTGTGAGGCAGATTTCATTTTCCTTCATGTGAAAATGAAAGTTTCCCAGTACCAATTATGGAAAGACTCTTATTTCCCCATTGAATGGACTTAGTACCTTTGTAAAAAAAGCAAAACCAAAACCATTTAACCACAGGTGTATAGATGTGTAAGTATATTATTTCTGGACTCCTTGATCTATTTGTCTCTTGTTATCCAGGGTGCTGTTAGTGGCCATCAGGTCATTCTCACTCTCATAGACCCTGTGTGAAACAGAACTTCATAGTCCCTGCTGTGCTTTGCCCACTGGTTTGGTCACTCTGTTCATCCTTGTGTCTGTGAGAGAGAATCAATCTTGTTGAGGGTCTTTCTCAATACGGTATATAGTTAGCTTTAAAATTAGGATATCTGAATCCTCCTACTTTGTTCTTCTGTGTCAGTGTTATTTTAGCTGACATTACATTTAAATTTTTTAAAATTTTTTATTATTTTTTGTGTGTGTACCATCAAATCAGATCTGACTGGTACAGGAGGAGATTGTCCCTCCTTCTCCAGCAGAGCATCTGGTGGATTCAAACTGCTCATCTCTGGGATTGCAGTGCAGCTTCTTGCCACTAGGCCACCAGAGCTCGCCAACATTACATTTAAAGGCAAGAATGGTTTTTCCATTTCTGTATAGAAGACAATTGGAATTTAGATTAGAATTTCTACTGAGTATGTTTGAGATGGTGAGAATGGCACAAGTTAGGGCAAGGTTCAGAGCCACTATTCTTAGAGTCACTATGGGTTACAGTGAGTTACAGTCTTGATGGCACATATCAACAACACAGATTGTTGATATTATTACTAGTATTACTGATATACTAACAATTAAATCTTAAAATCTATGATCATGGAATATCTTTCTATTTATGTAAGTCTTCTTTAATCTCTTTTATATCAATATTTTATAATTTTCATTATATTGTGTAACTCCTTCATATCTGGTTAAATTTAATTTTACATAGTAGGTTAATAAGGGAAGGGAAGATTGACTAGAGTATGTATTTTTTTTATTACTTAAGAGCAAATATAATGTTTTTCCTAAAACCATTTCAGTTAATATAAAAACAAGCTGCTGTTGAAAAGTAATTTGAAAAATGGTGTTACATTGTTATATTTTTCCTTTTTTCTTCATTTAGATATCTTACGTAATCCAGACTGAAGGAAAAGAACATATTATTCACTTGGAAAGGCACAAGTAAGAAATTGAATTTACTTTGGATTTTTAGTTTTTTTTGTTTTTATTTTTTTAATACTGTATTGGTATCTTTTCTAGTTAGAAACACTAGTTTAATTGATTGATAAGAAGAGAGAATAATAAGAATAGAAATTGAAAAAATTGATACTGTTTTGAGTTTCCATTGACTTTGCTAAACCCAAGATCACTATGGTAGAGTTAACTCATTACAGCCAATTCAAATGGTTCGAATTCACCCACTTTTTGGTCAGCAACCCACCACATAGGTCCACCAGAACTCTTTTTCCATTGACCTTACAGGTAACAATAAATTTATATTAAAATAAGAAAAAGATGTATTTAGTAAGGAAACTTTAAAAATAATAATTGGACCAGGGAAATACTTGTGTGTAGGTGAAAGTCTTCAGTAGTGTCTCACTTCCCTTTTACCCTCTCATCATGGTGGCATGGTTTCATCTATAACAGGTAATATATATTCTTTGGGTACATTTTTCAAATATCAAACTTCTGACTATGCTCATTTTGCTCACTTTCTGTGATCTGCCTTATTTTCTGAATCTCCACTTTTTGTATCTAGCACAATTGTATCACTAATTTCTTTAGTGAAAGGTGCTAGAAGAACATAGTAGCAGGTTAAGTGTTGGGCTACTAACCAGAAGGTCTCCATTTCTAACCCACCAGCTGCTCCACAGTTGAGAGGCATTCTTTTGTTAATATTTATAGTTCCAGAGACTTGATTAAGGTCATCATTAATTGGAATAAACTTGGAGGCAGTGAGTGGGTAATTGACTCATTTAAACAAATATGGAAATTCAGGATTGTGCAACCGATTACTCTCCAAAAGTAGTCTTCAAAGTGTGGTCCTGTTACCAGCAGCTGCACCTGAGCCTGTGTTAGAAATGTAAATTCTCAGTCCCAGCCCTAGAATTAACCAGTATTTTAGGAGTTAGGTCTCAGAGATCTGTGTTTTAACAAGCTTTTCAGGTGATTTTTATAAATCTTTAAGTTGAGAAGAACTATTTGTCTTATAACGATGTTGACAGAAGGAGAGTAAATCTCCTTGGCTGACTTTCAGGCTTGTGAGAGACATTTTCAGATAGAGACTTTTTTTTTAAAAAAAAAGACATTCTCTTAGACCTTCTCCTCTGCTTAATGGCAGCTGCATTTATTGAACATTTTCTGTGTTCCAGATGCTATGCCGTGTATTCTCATGTGTATTAGTTATTCAAATCTCACAAACCCCTGCATGACACTGCTTGATTTCAATGTAATGTTGTTAGTATGGACAACATTTTAATAGGTCTAAATATTTTGTGCAACCAATGAATTATTCATTGCAAAATTTTTTTTAAAACCCTAGTTGACAACTGTACATATAGGCCTCATCTGATAGAATTTACTAGAATCAAATTGACTGTATCTGGGGAAAGAGATCATAGAGAAGTTTAATAGAAAAGAAAAGAGCTGAATAGAAGATTTAAAAGGGCAGCTGGAGAAGACAAAGTATTATATAATACAATGCACAAAGATCTGAAGTTAGAAAACTAAAAGAGAACAAGCTTGGTTTTCTCAAGGCGAAAGAAAACAAAGTGTAGAAGTTTAGTAGATAAAATAGGTCTGTGGAGCAACATGGTGGAGAAGTTTAATAGTTTAATAGATCAGCACTCAAAACAAGGTCAAGGACTGACTATAGAACAAACCATCAATTACTCATATACAAGTTCAATTTGAATCTGAAGAAAATGAAAATAAGTCCTTGAGAGCCAAAATGTTACCTTGAATTTATCCTACCTAAATTAAAATATCATTTCAAGAACAGATTTGATGCTTGGAACACCAATCATTTATGATTAATAGACTGGATGATTTAGGAGATGACATTAAGGGCATTATCCACAAAAAAAGCAAAAGGGCATTAAAAACACAGGAAAGAAATAAAAGACTGAAAAAGGCATCAGGAGACTCTGAAATTTGCTCTTTAATGTGGAGAAGATAATGAAAAGGGAATAAATGATGAAATAAGATCTGAATAAAAGATTTCAAAGGGCATCTCTAAAAGGCAAACCAAAGTAAGATAGTATAATGTGCAAAGATCTGGAGTTAGAAAACTAAAAGTGAAAAAACAAGCTTGCCATTTTTCAAGGTGAAAGAACTGGAAAAAAGAAAAATCAAGCTTCAAGTTGTAATAATGGTGGAGTCTATTGGCAAAATATTGAATATTGCAGGAAATATTAAAAGAAATTGGGAAGATAACATAGAGTCACTCTAGCAAAAAGAATTATCACTGAGCCATTTCAGGAAGTAACAGAGGATTAAGAACCAGTGGTTCAAAGGAATAATTTCAAGCTGCAGTGTGGAACTGGCAATAATGACTCCAGGAATTGATGGAATACAAATCGAGGTATTTCAGCGAACAGATGTAACCCTAGATATGCACACTAGTTTATGCCAAGAAATTTGCATGATAGTGACCTGACCAAATGAATGAGAGGCATCCATTTAAAAAAAGGTATTCCAATAATTACATGTAGAAAAGACTGAAAGAAAATAATTGTCAGCCAAGAATCCTATATCCAGGTATATTGTCCATCAAATATGAAGGAGCAATGAATACTTTCACAAAAAATAGTAAGTTATGGAGTTTGAGGAAAAAAAAAACAAAACACAAACAAAACCAAAAACAAAAACAAAACAAAACCAACTCTGTAAGAAATACTACAAGGAAGTTCTTCACCCAGAAACAGCAAATGAAGGTAGATGTACCATAGGAACCATCAATAACAACAAAAAGAACTCAGCAAAATGGCAGCAGTTAAACTTGACCTGTTGCTAATTGCACTGAATGTGAAAGGCTTAACTACTCTAATTAAGAGACAAAGAGTAGCAAATTGGGTAAAGAAGACAAAGCCCATTAATATGTTGCCTTTAAGAGACATATCTAAGAAACACTAAGATAGACTGACAGTAGAGGGTGGAGGAAAAAAACATACCAAACAGATGGCATCCATGAGAAAACAGGATTGGCAGTCTAATCTCAGATAGATTTTAGGGTGTAAACCAGCATAAGGAACAAGGAAAGACACTATATAATATTTATAGGCAAGTAGAAGAAGAAATAACCTTAGTTAATAGCCAAGCATCAAATGATAGACCTGCAGAATACATAAAACAAATGTTAATAGACTTGAAGAAGAAAATGGACAACACCACAGTAGTAGTTGTTGTTGTTATATAGTGGGTTTTTAGGGGAGCAAATTGCACAGGAGGTGATTTCTCACCTTTCTCCCACAGAACACCTGGTGGATTTGAACTGCATATCTTTGGGTAGGCAGTGCAGTTCCTTACTCCTAGGGCACCAGAGCTCCTACTACCAAACAATTAAAGACTTAACACACCATTTTCACTGAAAGATAGGTAAACTCAAAAGAAACTAAACAAAGATGCAGAAGAACTTAACTATACAATTAGCCAACTCAACTTCATAGATGAGTTCAGTGTACTCCACTCTGCAAAAACTCAGTTTACTTTCTTCTCACATGTACATGATATATTCTCCTGAATTGGCCATATATATACTAGGATACAAAGCAAGCCTCAATACATTCAAAAACATCAAAATAATACAAAGTATATTCTTAGACCACATAGAACTAAAAGTTAACAAAAAGATAAAGCATAAAAAACCACTCATATGGAAGCTAAATAACACTTTCATTGATCACTACTGGGTTATAGAAGAAAGAAAAAATGAAATTAAAAAGGTCCTTTAAATGAATAAAAATGAAAATACAGTCTATCAAAATCTCTAGGATATAAGCAAAGGCAGTCCTCAGGGATCAGTTTGTAACAATAAGCAAATACATAAAAAAAAAGAAAAAAGGAGTAAAAAAACCTACTTTACCCAACATCTTTTTTTTGGTTTTTCAACATCTTCAACAAATAGAAAAAGAATGAAAAGAAAGAATAGCATGCTAATCCCACAACCTCTCATAGAAAGGAAATGATAAAGATAAGGACTGAAAGAAATGAAATAAAAACCAGAAAAACAATTGAAATCATCAAAAAGACCAGAAGCTGATTCTTTGAAAAAAATCAATAAAACAGACAAACCATTGGCAACCTTAATAAAAGTAAGAAAAGACATAACTCAAATAAGAAATGAAAAAGGTGATGTCACAGAATCAACTGAAATGAAAATGATAATAATGAAATATTGCTAAAAGTTATACAGTAACGAATTTGAAAGCCTTAAGGGAATGGACAAATTCCTAGAAACTCTTATCCTACCCAAATTGACAGAGACAGAAGTAGAACACTTGAACAGATCCATCGCATAAGAAAAGATTGAGACACCTATCCCCTGTTACCCCAGTTCCAAATAACAATAAAAAAAAAAATTAAAAAGAAAAAAAAAAAGAAGAAATTGATCAAGTTGTTAAAAATTTCCCAACAGAATATAGTTTTCTTTTTTTGGTGGTATCTTTCACTGGTGAATTCTGCCAAGCATTCAGAGATGAACTGTCACTAATTCTAATATAGAATGAGAAAGAAGAGTCCAAAGTTGTTCAGTGATGGAAACCATAAGCCTGATACCAAAACCAGATAAAGATATCACCAAAAAAAGAAAACTATAGACCAGTATTTATCATGAAATAGATGCAAAAATCCTTAACAAAATCTTAGCCAATAGAATCCAATAGTATATTGAAAAAGAATTCATCATGATCAAGTAGGAGTCCTAGTAGATACATGAGGATGATTCAACGATAAGAAAAACAACTTACATGTGATTTATCACATTAATAAAGCAAAGGATAAGAACCATGTGATGCTATTAAATGATGCAGATAGTCCTTTCACAAAATCCAACGTACTTTTTTT